TCCTCTGCTTTATTTTTCGGGATCAACAAGCTTGGCTTACCCATACTTGCTTGTGGATATCATCACTTGTCCTCAGCTTAAGCCCCATCAAACGACGATAATTCGGAGAAGTGAAAAATGAGGTCCTACATCGCTTTGTTTGAGAGCCTTGATTCAAGAATTGTCAAGTGGAGAATCACCGTGTTATTGGGACTGCCTTGCAACAACTGGAAGATTTCCTTATCAGTTGTCTGAATCAGGACAGTTAGAAAGTTTGTACAAAAACTGGAGTAGTGGACAAAGTTAAACAACATGTTAGGAACAGCGTAAATTTACGATGCACACGTTCCTGCAAAGTGATCCCTTTGATTAGCCCACCACAGTGCAAAATTGGCCTTCATGGTGTGCCTCCCTCAATTAATCTGCTGGCTTTGACTTAGTTTTTCACATTTTGCAAAGCTGCGCGAACAGGCTTTAGACCGAAACTGGTGTGAATTAATTGCCACTGGGACACGGAGAAAATTTCCGTACACAACAAACTTGATGTGGTGCTGAAAAACTGCTCACTGTCCAACACAAATAGTCCGCTATGCTAAAGTAGTCCTGCAGCAGAACTGACCGGGTGAATTAAGTCTGAAAGTGTACACACCACAAAAGTTACTAAGCTACAGATGTATGGGGGTTTGATTCAGTATCCGGTTTAGGGACCAAGCGTATCGGCTTGAAGTAATCGGTGATTATGTCGTACAACTGCACTAGAGGCACGGATACAAGGACTTGTAATGTCTGAGGAATCCAAATGATGGCGAAACGAATAGTGGGCTTTCGAATAATCTTTAGCAACTTTATCGGTTGTGTATTGTGTCTGTATATGAGACTCGATATCTGGAATATCTCACCAACTGAAAGATTAAGCTACCTTGTGCGCACAGTCATTTGCTTTAAAATACCATAAACGCGAGATTCATTTGGATTCCCCGCAAAATCGAATTAGTTTGCAAATATGTATTTCTCTCTGCCGTATATACCTCACCAACAGTATCATAAGATTCCAAGTGCCAAATCCGCGAGGCGTCATCGAATAAACAACCTGGAGGCAGGAGTGAGCGTACTACTTTCAAATTCGCATTGTGTTGATCATATGTGCACATTTTTTCAGTCCGCTTTTGACCATCGATAAACTATGGTCCTTATTTCACGCAAAGATCGATCGATAAGGCACGGACTGCTCCGGCATTGTTACTTGTACCTGGGTGAACTAGCGAAGTCGAGCGTATAACTTGTCATTTATATGTAGACAAGCAGGAAAGCTCACAATCCAGTGATTTGTATATCCGGCAAGACATTGTTCACGCGTTCTATCCTTTGACGCTTCCGAGTGAGTTAGCATTCGCTCTATTTGTGCAAGTCAAGAATAGTCGACACCAGAGTAGGATTACTTATAGTCTGCACAGGTCAAGTGGTAACAATTACGAAGGGTGGGTCTATATGATGTAGCCTGTTCGTTTAGTTACCCTCAGTGTAGCATACAGCTGCCAGAACGTGGTGATAGGAACCCTCTAATGAACTTATGTGGTGATGTGGCGGTCAAAATACAGGTAAATACAGTCTAGATACTTACTAGCATCAGTTCTCAGCATCTTAATCGAATTTTGTAACCGATATCTCGAAGCAGTCAGCCTCACTGCCTTCCAAGCAGAGCCGATCAATACTCTGGGGAAAGATGTTTAATAAAATGCAGTGAAGGCGCCTCCTTGACTGCAGTTATGACCTCGACCACGCCTGAAGCTGTACGTCAGCTTACCTTTAAAATGCAGTGAAGGCGCCTCCTTGACTGCCTCCTCGACCACGGCTGAAGCTGTACGTCATCTTAGCTTCACTAAATAAGTGTATAATGTACAGATTTAACAAGAGAAGGCCAATGTGGATGGGATCGGGGAAAAGCATGCTTGAGTACCGAATGTCCAGCGGAAATCCAAATTCTTTCGAAAACGAGTAAGAATACGATGATTTCGACCTGTGAATTTGTCAAAGTCAATTTTTTCTGGCGTAATGCATTAGGGTTTGGTAATTATTGCCCCTTGTTGCATAACACTCAAGTTTTAAATTCCCATACTAGATTACGGAATGCACACTTAGCAGGAGTACAACAGATTTGCGAATCTGCTGAGCGAGTTTGAAGAAATGAGTGCACAACGGAAAGTACCAAAGCCTCGGGGCATTGGACAATAAATAATGCGATGGATGATTCTAATAATCGTGGTGCATTACAGGGAACTGTTGCACGCAAACGGATAAGTGAATCTGTGCTCACGACATGTCAGTGACAGTTGTAGCAATGAGAAGAACGAAGGTAGCGAACAAAGCTTATTTTCCTCTTGGCTAATACACCACAAATTTATATGGTACCAGCAATCACGTGAAATAAGATTGAAATCCGGGGTCATACACCTTATAGAAACAGAAATCAAATGAAGGGGGGTTGAATAAGAGATAGGTCAATGGGTCACGGAATCAAGTAAGTGACGTCAATATCGGACAGGCTTGTGGGACCGGATTTTTCGTAGGCCAGTTCAAGTTCGAAGTTCTCACGAGTTTCTTTTGGACGCAAAGTTGTGGGTCCAGCAGTCGGATTCCAGTCGCTTCTGCGAATGGTAGTAGTCCGCATCGTACCAGTCGTGATCGGTTCAGAGATACCCGATGTATGCTGACGAAGGCTTGCTCTTTGTCGATAACATGACTAGTTTCGGCCAAATATGATGCGATTGCATTTGTGCCTGGTTTCTTCTAACGGCCACACAGAGACACAGGATGGTGTTCTCGCATTGTGTTCGACAAATGCTCGGCACGAGCATGCAACTGAGTACGAATCGAATCGAATCGTTCAGCTGTAGCACCCTTTCGGTGCCTAACTGCCATGCCACCCGAGGGTTGCAAGAGGGCTGGGATACTGCCAGGTTGCCCAAGCCTAGACAGGGGAAGTCGAGTGGCGGAGGTCGGATTCGAACCACGAACCTCACGGTCAGTAAATTCGCGCACTAACCATTTGGGCCATCTCGCCCCCTGAGTACACACAAAAGCTAGTGGTGGAACGCTGGAATTTGTCCTTTAAACGGAAACTGATTGTGAGACGGAACTTGAAGCTCAAACACGAATTAGCGGCCATGCATGTCATATTATCAGAGTTTCCAAGCCTTCTGAATGTCATATCACCAGAGTTTCGAAGCCTTCTGATAATTAGTTCAACAACCGAGTCACCTTTGAGTGGGAGACGGGCTTCTCCCCAAGTGAGCATTGTTTAGGTTTGGGCTTTACGGATCATTTAGTCTTGAACTTAAGATGGCCTGTGAAAAATCCTGTCCCACAAACCTGTCCGATATTGACGTCACTTACTTGAATCCGTGACCCATTGACCTATCTCTTATTCAACCCCTCTTCATCTGATTTCTAATTCTCTAGATTCTATGTACCCCGGATTTTATTCTTTTTTCTCATGTGATTTCCGGTACCATACAAATTTGTGACGCATTAGCCAAGAGGACAAGCTTTGTTCGCTACCCCCGTTCTTCTCATTGATTGTAATTGTTGAATATTGGCGCGCGGGTACACAGAGTCACCACGAAGAATATATTCTTTTCACCTAACAAACCCGTCTTAATAGTTTGTGAAAATTATGCTGCATTCCCTCCTTGTTCCGATCTATAGTACTAATCAAGGAAACTTGGGTCACAAAACGAGTCTAGAAAAGGAGTGTGATCAAAACTAAGTTCAAGGCAAGTTAATTAAAAAAGAGGTGGTTGGGCAGTGTGCTGGGTTTTTGATTAAAAAAAATGTCTTTTGTGTCGCGTCACTTCGACCGTAAGGCCAAAGATAACGGATATACTTAGGCACACATTGTGACTCCCTGCGAAATTGTACTACTATATGACAGCTAGAGTTGGAACAACAAAGACCTGGTTGTAGAATTTTCTCATCCTATCAGCCTAACCCCGAGATACACCGGGAAACGTACATCGATCTTCTATGTCACATTTAGCCTCTGCAGATGTCGCGTGCTCCGAACTACTTCGTTTTCTAGTTGACACACTACTGGACAGTGTACCCACTGAGAATTACTAACAAGATGAACATTAGTAGCCAACAAGGTCCATCGCGAAGTGAACCGTCTAATTTGGAAAATAATAACCTTCCGGGTTTTTAGTTTGCGATTTACCGACGTCGGTTAACCTTTCCCAGTCAGTTATCCATTCAAAAGAAAATCGATTGCATTTTGAAAATAGCATTATGTTGATCCTCATACTACTCCTGTATTTAAACCAGCTTGTGAAAATCTGTCTTTTGATCTAAGGCGTACAGTGAAAAACTTCAGCATGTTTAAGATACACAACAGTTCGATCGGCTCCATACATTTCCCACGTGACTTCAATCGAAAATTACCAGAACGAAGTATTCATTGCACACATTCTGAGCCCACAGAAAATCGTGCTGAGACAGACTTTTATAAGAATGCAGAATAGGAATCTTCCACCCGTGAAACTTTATTAGAGCCAACGGTTTTATCGACTTCCTCCCTTTTCCACGCAAATTAGGGCTTTCAATTTTTTAAAACTCGTCAGCAGAGGCTCTTTGAATTCGAAATCAATTGATGGTGAACTGCTATACCCACGATTTCAACAAGTGATGCCCTAAGATCACGCCTGTAGTGTAATCGTGGGCAGCACTCTCGATATGAGTAGACAGAAAACTCATTTCAGTTCACTGGAGGATCGCACGCGAACGATCGTTAGAGCCAGCAGATGCAGAAGTCGTTTGCGTCGACAAAGATACTGGAGTAAGCACCGGATTATCGAAAACTGTGATGAAACGCTCAAGTAGGAGTACAAGACAATCAAGAATGTGCCGTAAACGCAGAGCTAGTGCGAAGCGGAATCTGATCAGGGTTATAAATAACCAAACACTAACTACAAGCACATCGTTCCATTTGTATTTGAGGGTCAGCAAGTTCTCAGGGTTCCTTCAAAGCTGAACTGATGTTTGGTGATTCAGCAGTTTCCCACAAATCTTATCGCTAGCAAAGGTCTTTGAAAAAAACAGCTAAAGTAGGACCAGCTTCTCATAAAAAATACAGCAGATGGTTGAAGCACGTGCACTTGTAACACTGTTTGTAGCTATGGGAAACGAAGAAAACACGTGAACGAAACGCCCTTGTTGTTTGCTCTCCCGACCCCCAAACTGCACACAAGTGAAGAAACAATATGTCCAGAATCTGTTATCCAACTGTCAGTAGCAGCAAAGATACAATGAATAGTGAAGTCGCGAGCCGTGAAAAACCTTCTTGGTGGGGTTTCCAAGAGTTTGGTTTAAAAAAACTACCGGGAAGTACAAATAAGGGCAGGTGATAACCATCTGAGAAAGAGGATAAAAATTTCCGGTCTTATTGGTTTACATCACTGCTGACAGGAGTGGTACGTTATCACGGAAGCATTAGAATAGGTAAATGCTAGATGAGTGATTAGCCGGCAAAATGAGCTCCCTGCCAATAAAAGGATGGGTAGTAGAAACGGTTTCTGTCGGATAGGAGGATACATGGCGCAGTTCGGAACACAAAATAACAGCTGGCCAGAATGAAATCTGATGGGTGGCAAGAGGTTAAAAAGTTCGTCTAGCAGACGCGTCAGCAGTTCGAATGTGGTACAACACCCGACAGAATTGTTCGTAGACTGTGAACCGACACGATATGGACAGACAGGACTTGAGCAAAGTAGGACGAAGGCCTTTAAAAAGACCAGAAGCTCCCTCCGTGGTCCAAATGTTGATTAAACAGTCGCGAATGTTGCTCGTGGCAGGCAAACGACCAAATCGTATGCGCGCTTCTTCGAAACCCTACAGGTGGATCCATGAAAAAAAACAACATGATCAGCGCGTTCATCTGAAGGGCCTACATCAATGGAGGAATTGTGAGATGAAAATATCTCACAGAGTCTGGACAAGTACGATGGATGTGACAGTCAAAAAGAGACATGAGCAAATCCAGTAGGCATTGCACATATTCCTGGCAAAATGTTGACCTACATTCACATCGCTCTCGCTTGAACATCCCTCGAGTTGAGCAGATCAATCAGATCTCCCAAGCGCCAACATGCTCCGCTGTTCACACGTGCCAACTTCGGTGCGTGCAGTGTGCCCCGGTGTTGTGGTGGTAACATGTCCAGCCTATTTGATGTCCAAGGTTTAAATCTAGACACTGCTGATGAGCCAATAACGTCAAAATCGAGTTCGGTGTTTTCCTCTTTGATACCAGGCAGGGGGGGTGTACAAGCGAGACCGATGGGAACACAAATTCTACCTATTGGTTGTTGATCAGATGGCTGTTGATCTGTTCGCCGAGCTTGGCAATTGGCTTGCAAACGTTTCGTCACCATACGAGGAGACATCATCACTGCGCACTGATGATGTCTCCAAGTATGGTGACGAAACGTTTGCAAGCCAACTGCCAAGCTCGGCGAACAGATCAACAGCCATCTGATCAACAATCAATAAACTCACCCGAGCTACCAATATTTCACCACATTACCAACAAATTCTACCTACTTTTAAGAATTCAACACAAATCTCGATTACTGAGACATGGACGCAAGGTGGTGTTCAAGAGAGTGAGCAAATCTTCCATGAGCTTGTGTTGATGGACGATTGTATTATTTTACGGTGAAGGGTGCCAAATTGTCGAAGAAAAGACATTGACGATAACTTGAGGAAGACGAAGGATGAGTTACTAACGGATCGTCCAAGCTTAGACAGGAGCATTAAAATATCGGACCTTCCGGTTGCGAGTGTGAGCCCAAATTTCTTGTCGACGCAAAGCATTGTGTTTCAACACACAAACTGAAGGGAAAAATCGTTCAGCCGTAGTACCCTTACGGTGCCTAACTGCCAAGCCACCCGAAGATTGCACGAGGGCTGGGATACTGCCAGGTCACCCAAACCTAGACAGGGGAAGTCGAGAGAGGTGGGGTTCGAACCACAGACCTTGCAGTCAGTAAATTCGCACTCTAATCAATTGATCCATCTCGCCCCACTGAGGGGAACAATTGAATCAATCTTCTGTAGTGAACGAGAGTTACTTGGTCTCATTCGAGACTAACATATAGGGCCAATTCACACCATATACCCACCCACATGAAAATGTGGAACAGGTTAAACTAACAGAAAAACCGAGCACATGCCTCTTTGGGACCGAGTTTGTCTTTGGTTTTGTAAACCCCTCTGAAACGTTGATATCGTTTTATCACTCACTCGCTTTTTCACCATCGAAACCCACATGTTCAGAAAATTGATGACGTCACTGCAACGTATCGATTAATACCTTCACTATGTGTTCAGAGGCGACTTGATATGACTCTTGACCTGTATTGGATCTGTTTTTGCCCAGATCATANTAGTCGGCTGACGGATCTGTAGTCACATGATAAACTTTGTTTAATCAGTTGGCATAAAACCCATTCATTCTTGCTAGTGGCTTGGATACGGACCAGACGACACGAACTCAGTCCCCGTGTTCTCACGCTTCCTAAGGATACTTACTCGGTCTCACAGGCATGGCTCCGAGGCACGTGCCCAAGGAACGTCTAGTTCATTTGTTACCCTGAGCGACCTGATCACAGAGGTTAGTTTTCCTCAGAATCACTTAGGGATTTCTGGACTCCGCTTCTCGAGAATCGAAATGACCCTCTAGCGTTATCCGAGTGTCATAAGGTGATTGTGAGAGTGTAAATTCTTGACACGGCCAGCCTCAACCCTTACAGTGTACCCTTCTGACAGACCAAGCTTGGTGACCCATCATAAGTGCAAATGTCTATACGTAAAACTACCTAGCACTGTTCACAGAAAAACTGCCTCTCAAAACAGAGTAAGGCTCACATATTCTGGAGCTTTCTAGAAAAGGGTCATACGTAGTGGGCGCACACTGCTCACGGTCTATTCATCCGATACACGTTTCCAAATCAACTTAACCTGTCACTCATACGAAACGTCAAAGTCAATACGTCACGCCATGAAAATCCTGAACTGTTCATTATGAATAGAGTCAGCACACCTGCACGTGAAGAATGCTTGAAGGGAATAAAACTTGTAGTGAAGAATATTGGCGACCAATGAGGATAGTGTGTTGCGATGGATCTGTCTAACAACTGGAAAGCTGGTTTGTTTGCATACATACTACACCAAACTTAGATACGTGAGAATTTCGAGTGAATTCATCAAAGCTTCCCGTGAGACAAAAATAGCAAACAGAATTAAATACACCAATATGCTGTAAAGGCAGTGAATTCTAGATACGCCTAGGAGCCAGTCAACTAAGCATCTTCGTGACTTCTTTCGAAGTGGGTTCACGCTTTGGCGACTGGACACACAAGGTGGCTTGACGATTAAATGTACGCACTATACCACAGTATGTTTGGCATCATGCATATTTGCCTTCTGCGTCTCGGCTGAAAGAAGGCAGTGCAGGTCGTGCATATCCGGTATCAAACCGGTAATCCGTCAATTTATCACTGCACAGAGTACCCCGTCACGTCCGTTCAATCTAAGAATCGTGGTCGGCAGTATCAGTGGGTGAGTTATCAGCTTTCACAATTAATCTGGGTGTGTCACATTCATCATGAAGCTAAGGGAGAGGTGTGGCAAATACTGACACTACTATTCACCAAGATATGCACGTGACTTGTTAACCGATCATATGGACAAGGGTGGTGCATCCTACAGGGGTTCAAATAAATTATGCGGTCGTCCAGGCTATTTGGCCAATTCACTGACGGTTTTCTACGAATCTGTAAGGTCAGATGACCTGTACTTTTTGATCACAGCCTGGAAGGCCTTATGTGAAATGGTCAAATAAGATAAACGACCTAAATACATTCAATTCCTTGTAATACACTTTCACAAATGTGCACTTTTCGAGATATGGGGGAACTCCATTGAAATAACAACGACGTGTGACGGTTAGGGAGCAGGCGCGTCAAGCAAAAGGTGATGGAGTCCGCCAAATACCCGTGCAATTGATATTTGTATCGCGATAAAGCGTGTAAAAGATATACAGCAATCCACCAACGCTACCATCTGGATAGTCAATAACTGCGTCAAGATTTAGTCTGCGACCTCTCTTCCGGGAAACCAGTCATCACCATCATGGACAACAAAATCATAGTAGCTTAATAGCCATAAAAGGAAGACAAGACGAGGTATCATCCCTATTCACAATCATCTGGGGCGGATGTGGGTTCAAAAAACTCCAGCAAGTGGTTCTGGCAGAAAAAACTTGCCTCTAATGGTTGAGTGCATCACCGTAGTGAACACACACGAACGAGTTGTTGGAGTACGAAGGCATAGGGAGATTAAACCGGCACCCTCAACTAGCCTCACTAAACCAAAACCATCACACAAAAACAAACCGAATATGAGCAGTTCGACTACGCGACCGTAAGCTCTGCTATCGCACATCACTTTCTGTAGAATTTCCAACCACCCTGCCAAAGGTAGGAGGATCTCATAGCAACCAACTGAATCGTAATCGCCCATTTCGAGCCATTTTATTATGATTTGTTCCCCGCAAATATTCCGAAAGCGGAAACTTGGAGTAAAAGACACAGGTTTGTTTGGTAAACGATGGTTGCTTTTGACTTACACACCATTTCGTTGTAAGTGTGCCGCAGCCAACGACGCGACCAAGGTACCAGAGAAAAAAAGTTTGAAGCTAAATCCCTCGGATCGAAAGAACCTACTGTGGACTCCGGGGACGAGCCTCATTAGCTCTAGTGAAATTCGTTTCTGACGTCAAAAATGACGCAAGTTGGTGAATGCTCGCACGTTCATCCCATCAGTCAGAACAACCAGAGCTTACGAAGCTGTCAAGACTATCATGATCATCAATGACAGAAGTACACCAACATAGAAGCATTTAAATGCCACATAGAGACGAAGAAAGCCCCAATAAATTGTGGAAAAGGGGGAGGACAAAAGCGTAGAGGAAATAATCATAAACGTGTCCACACATCTGAACAACAGTGAGGCACGCACGCCTCAGCATTATGGAGAAATTGGACGTTGCCGACATGTGACGGTATGTGCACCTTCATAGCCCATTGAGTTGGACAGTGTACATGATACTCACGGGGCCTTCATACCAGGCTGGTCAACGGGTAGGGCTATGACTAATAGTCTTCTGCTTTACCAGTTTGGGGTTCGGAACAGGTGACTTGCTCAAAAATGTATGTCGTGCTGGTCTTACACCAACAACCTGTGCCTCATGGACAGGCCTTTCGAAGATACTCACCTTCCTGTATAAGCCTAGGATCCCTGACACCAGCCCAGCTAACGCACAACCATAAATCGCTTCACAGCAAGTAGCCTCACGACATACCGACCGTCGCGTGGTGCCAGAGCCAGATGACTTTACTTGCTGCATGTAAAGACAGGATACTGATAAAGTTTCTCTTCTTCCTTCTTCATACACTCGTTCATTCCCTTCTGCTCGCCACATTGTCAGTAATACCTCTGCAGGCCCACTCCCGTTCGCCGCCTATTGTCACAAAGTGCAAAATTTACAGTAAACTCTGCCGCCACTGCCATAAACACTTCCAAATTATCCTGCCAACTCCGACATTCATTCATCTGTCAGCCTTTAACTTTCGCACCCTGAAACAAGCTGGATAACAGGTCACTCATGGTCATACGCTGGACTCATTTTTTTTATTGATGTATACTGTTTCTCTGGAACAAAATTTAGGAATCCAAGTACCGTTGTTAAACTGACCTCCATGCCTCTTCTCACTAACGCTTGCGCGGCAACCGGTTGTGCCGGAGTTAACATTGTTTTAACCCATCGAGCC